AACATCAGCTTTCCTGCTCCTCTGATGCTGCTTGGCCTGCTGTGTTCATCCAGATCTACACCGTGTTATCTCAGATCCTCCAGCATCGGCAGTTCCTACTATCTCTGCAACTCTTTGTTTTCATCACATGCTTATTTTTCTGCCTGAATATTGTTGGGAGTGTCCTGGAGACTTCAGGGCATTCTGGGAGGGTTGGCAATGTTAAAATCAAACAGGATTTTTAGATACTAATAATAACCTAGTGGTCAGTCAGAACCCTTACTAAAAGGTCATATAGAAAACCCTCCGCAGATCGAGCAACTTCCATGGAGAGAGAATTGGGCACTGTCTTCATCCAGTGGCTTAATAGTGGAGCTGGGATCTTCACATTTTTAAGAACATCTCTCAGTTTGTTTAAATTATCTTTTTACAGGGTTGCTGCATTCCACAGAGGGTTCAGGACATTGCTCCTACCTGTGGTGCTGATTGGATGTTGGAATAATCCTGAGCAGTCCCAAAATTGCCAGATTCCTAATCTGAATCTTTTCCCCATTTCCCCAGGAATATTCTAATATTTGCGTCAGTCCTAGTCAGAATATAGAAATTGGTTGGTTCAATTGTTCACGAAATCTCCTGTCACCTCTACCTTCCATCAGCTCTCTCTCTCTCTCTCTATCACCACCTCCTTTGAGAGATTGAGGAGACTGGGCCTGTGTCATCTAGGGTTAAGACAAATGAAAGGTGACCTCTTTGAAACAATGTTCTTACAGAGCTTGACGGGGTAGATGCAGGGAGGATGTTTTCCATGGCTGAATGGGGAGTCTAGATTAAGGGGATAGAGTCTCCAAATAAGGGGGAGGTGATTTAGGACTGAGATGAGAAGGAATACTCCAAAGGTAGTAGGTCTTTGGAATTCTCCAGCCAGAGGACTGTGGAGGCTCAGCCACTGAATAAGTTCAAGACAGTAATCATTGGATTTATAGATATTAGAGAGATTAATGGCATTTGTTGCCTATCCATAATTGCTCCTAACTGAGTGTCATGCTTGACCATTTGAGAAGGTAGTTAGGAGTCAGCCACATTGCTGTGGGTCTGAAGTCACATGTAGACAAAACCAGGTAAGAGTGGCAGGTTTCCTTTCCTGGAAGACATTAATGAATCAGGTGGCTTTTTGATGATAGTTTCATGGGTCCCACCACCAAGACTAGCTTCAAATTCCAGCTACTGTGGTGGGATTTGAACTCATATCCTTAGAACAATGACCTCAGCTGCTGGATTGCTAGTCCAGTGACGTTGTCACAGTGCTATCATCTCGCCTGTCCCTCTGAATGTTAGGGCAGTCTTGATGAGGCCTAATTCATAAGTTCTTAGGTTCTCCTTTCTCTTTATCTAAAGGCAATGTGATAAATCTAGAACCAGGAGTTGAGTTGTGAAACTAAATGTCTTTGCTAGAAGAGTATATGTGCTGTGGCTACAGTTGGAGCTTTCAGGTCTGATATTGATAGGTCGAGGTATTAAGGCATTGCTGTGGCTATGGAGTCATATGTAGATCAGACCAGGTAAGGATGGTAGTTTCCTACCCAAAGATCATTAGTGTCAGCCCCATGAGTGAGGATTGTGCAAGAATACAGATGTGCCAAAGCATAGGTAGATTCTCAGCTCCTGAGCCTGTTACACCCTTTAATTAGACGAAATCTTACTCCTTGCACCTTCATTTGCTTCCTATCTTTTTAAACACTCATCAAACAAGTCTAAGAACTTCAGGTTTCAAATTTTCATTTGACCTTCAGCCTCATCAGTTTCGTGAGGGGAGAGATTTTCAGATTTCCACCTCTATTTGGTGTGAAGTGAAGAAGTACCTCCTGACATTGCACCTGAATCTGCCTTGCTCCAGCTTCTCTCTCTCTCAATCTCTCAACCCTGACAAATCCTTTACTCACCTTACACACTACAATTTGATCATCTTATCATCTGTACTCAAGTCTCTCTTATCCAACTGACTCATCCTGACTTAACCCTTTCAGCACTGGTACAATTCTAATGAATCTGCAACTGTACCCTTTCCACAAACCTGTAAGTTACCCAGACCTGAACACAGATACTCAAGATGGGGTTTGATTAGAGCCTTACATAAAATTTAGGGAATGAGGGCATTGTGTAATCTCCCTGAGCTATTAAACCAGAGGCCCAGGCTAATGCTCTAGGGACTTGGGTTCTATCCCAATATGGCAGTTGGTGGATTTAAATTAAATTAATTAAAAAATTTAGAATTGAGAGCTAGCCTCAGTACTGGTGAGACAACTATCAATTGTGATTTTAAAAATCCAGCTGGCTCACTAATGACTGTTATGAAAGGAAATCTGCCATCCTTACCTAGTCTGGCTAGCATGTGACTCCAGATCCACAGCCATGTGGTTGTCTATTGACTGCTCTCTGAATTGGCAAAACAAGCCAGTTCGTTCATGGTTAATTAGAAATGGGGCATAAATGCTGGCCCAGCCTATGATGCTCTAATCCTATGAAAGAATAAGAATAAAGTAACTCCCACTCCTTTGTTTTCCTTGTTGAGATAAAGACAAGGGAAGTCTATTCAGAAAGAACTCTCAAAAAGGAATTGAAGAAATGCTTGAAGGGGAAATCATTGCAGATATCAGAGGTAATTGAGACTAATGCATATCCCTCGCAGAGAGTCCGTGCAGACATGATGGGCCAAATGACAACCTTCAATACCACATGATTCTACATTTCTATAGTTATTAAAATGTAACTATTTCACTAGTCTTTTTTCATTATTTTTGTATTCATACTCTGTAGGTCTAGCTTTCTGGATCTAAGGAGGAACAAGTCAAAGATGTCAAAGAACTGACCACAGATAGCAACAATGTGACCAAATGGGAGGGAATGGAAATAGACAGTACTTAGTGATTTGAAAGGAGAGATGATAAATTGTTAGACAAGAAACTATGGGAAAGAAGTGGAAGTTTAAAAGAAAATAACATTCAATATGTGGACAAAGGTTTGTGAAGAATCAGCGTCTGGCAACAGCTGTTGGCAACTTTCGATAAATTCCTTTGTAATATTTTAAGAGGTACCCTGCATACCTGAGGAAATGATCAAGACCAAAACATGGGGGAGAAACTAACAAGTGTCAGTGGTCACCAGTCGAATGTGTCTTTTTCATTTTCCTGGTCTTCTCTATCTGTTTCTCTTTCTTATCCTCATTTTTGTTTTGAAAATAAATCTTTTTAATTAAGTTATATTGAATTTACAAGCATTTTACTTGCTACTTCTCACTGGAGTTTAACAGAAAGCAGGCACTAGCTATGGAGGTACAGCCATCCCATCATTCAATGGGATAGTGAAAGCCCTCTACTAAATCTACGTGGTGTGCAGGTTTAATAGAGGGCATTCCCTGTCTCTAGACTCTCTTTTACATCTGATCCTCTGCGTTTTTTTGAGCTAAACTAATTAGCAGGACATTTGCAGCAAGACTTTCAGGAAATGTTTGTTACACGACTTCACAATTACTGTGATTAACTTTAAGTTTAGTGCCTTTCGCTTTGCAGGCTACTGTATTATGTGCATAGAAAGATCCCAGAAAAATGAGAGGTGACTGACTGGTTGGTTTGTTTCCTGTCTGTTGGCTGATAGTTACATATCATAGTCCATGGAAAATCACCCTTTCATTTTCTGATAAAAGATACGAGGTCTTTAACATTCACCCTTATCCAAATGTCTTTATTTCAGAAATCGGAGTAACTGAAATTACCAGATCAGGTAATTGACCCAGAAGAGGAAAAGGATCCCTTGGGGTGGAAGAAGAAAGCTGTTGTTAAAATACGCAGATCCTTACTTTCGTGTTTAATTTGCTAAGATCAACCTGGGAATCACGACCTTGCTTTGCTGCTCACCGCCACACGAGGTCCTCAGACGAGCAAAGATGAATAAACCTGCGGCGTAATGTTTTGGCCGTTACAGTAATTCTGTAATGCTGTGTATATACCGCCAGATGGCAGAGCAGATCAATGAAAGTTGCACAGTTCCTGCATTGTGCAGAGAGCAAATGTTTCCGCAAACCGGGCGAGTTCCTTAATTTTCCTGAATATCAGTATTGACGGGGATACTGAGGAATATTTGAATATAGACATGGAGTTTCCCATGGAGTTTGTCAGCAGTGACAAGGGACCCTGGGGTAGTGTGTGAATATTAAAGCCAGGTCCCCGGGAGATTGTGTCAGTGTTTACAAGGGGGTTTGGGGAGTGTGTCAGTACTTCCAGGGGGTCCCAGGGAGTGTTAGTATTTACAGGGGTCCCCTAGGGAGTGTATCAGCATTTACGGGGTCCCGGGGAATGTGTCAGTATTAACAGGGGTCCCCAATAGGATGAAGTTGAAAATCTACAACATAAATAGGTTTGTGGACGGTGAAGGATATTTGTTGACATAGCCCCTGTTTGGTCCAGCTCTTAGTCACAGATACCGAATCTAAAGATTAACATGTTTAATGTGAGCTCCTGGTGAATAAACCATTCTCTCACTGTGACCTGGTCTGCTCGAGTCCACTCAAGGGCAGCCCTCCCTGACTTGGTGCTCACTGTGTAAATGCTGTGTCAGAGCAGGGCCCCTGCCTGTTGCTAAACTTCAAATGGCTTTGGGGCTGTTTTTACTCCACGACTCCATCAGTAATGGCAAATCTCCAACCCTACATTCACCCCCGACCCAACCTTTCCCCTACCCTTCCATTCCCATTCCGATGGGAAAAACGGCTGAAAAAATCCTGGCACCACTCAGCGGAACAAAGGTCACGAACCCGACCCTGGTTCTCTCTCTCCCAACCCTTGTACCAGTGTGATAACTGGGAACGCTGGGACAAGGGATGGATGAGGAAGAGCCTCTGGGAATCTGGGAAAGGATTAATTGACGAAAGCTGGGAATAAAAAAAACTCATCGTCTCTTTCCCTGGAGGAAACTCACGCGGAGCGAAAAAAAATGCCAGTAGGGACTATTTGGGTTGAATGACCTTTTTTATGTTGTGCCTTTTCGGGGCCATCGTCTGAACCTGAATAAAGATTTATATTTGAAAGGAATTGTGAGAGAGACTTTTCTCATATCACATAAACTTCTGGGAGAATGAATCAGTCTCGAAGTGGAGGGAACGAGGCAAAGAGGGAGTGAGCTGGACTCAGTGAAAGCCTCGCGATTCATCTTCTATGGGAATGCCTGAATCTTCCACTGACTTCTGGTGTGAAGATGTTTGCATTTATCAATCACCTTTCACATCCTCAGCATGGTATCTTCCCAGGTGACCGCTCCTGGTACCTTGTAGCATTTACCACCTCAATCAGTCTGTGGTACTGGGTGAGGGTTGTTTAAGGTCGTTCACTGCCACCAATCATTTGTCTTTGCTTTGTCTGGGGTCCACCTAGAGATTAGTGGTACAGGATAAAGAAAGATGGGTTCTGAGATAACAAGAAGGTTTATTGTATGATAGCAGTAAGTACAATTACATTTGGTCAGTATAATGACTGGCACCTGGTACAGATACATCTGCTCCCTCCAAAAGCTCGAGTCAAATTCCTTGTCTCCATCCACAGACTGTGTGAGAGCTCAGGGGAATGGTGGAGCCAATGTAACGTGAACATTAACCCCTTCAGAATCATTAACTTACACAACACTCAGGGTTTACCAATATGCTTTACTGCCAATCAATCACTTCCAAAGGCAAGCCACTGTTGTAATGGAAGAAGGGTTGTCGCCAATTCTGTGCACAGCAAGATCCCACAAGCAACAGTGTGGCCAGCAGGGCATCCGCCAGCTTCAAAACTTCACAGTGGCAGTGTTGTGTCCCATCCACAAGATGCACTGCAGCAACTCATTTGGTTTCCTTCAATGGCACATTCCAAACATGCAATCTCTACAATCTCAAAGGAGAAAAGCAGCAGATATGTGGAAACATCACCCTCCATGTTCCCCTCCAAACCACTCAGCACCTAGACTCAGAAATATATCACTGTTCTTTCACTGTCACTGGGTCAAAATTCTGGAATTGCCTCTTTAATAGCAATGTGCGTCAACCTACAGCACATGGACTACAACATTTCAAGAAGGCAGCTCAACACCACCTTCTCAAGGGGCAACTAGGGACAGGGCAATAAATGCTCACAAATAAAAAGAACTCACTCAGGGTAATGTGTCAATGTTCAGGAAAACTGGAGCTTTCTGTACAACCCCTTCCTCCCTCACAACTCCCAACCTACACAAAGAGTTGTTAGGGCTAAGGGGTATAATAAAAAATGTTGAAATGGCGTGAGCGGCGTTTGCATGTGGTTGCTGGAGGGTGAACATATTGATTCACACCATGTGGGACTGGCAGGGGGTTCTTAAAGAGGAAGTGGTTGAGGGGGAAGGGGTGGGGTTTGATAGGGGGTGTGGTGGAGAGGAAGGCCTGGGGGAGAGCAGGCAAGGAGCAAACAGGGATGGGAATGGTGGGGGTTGGGGTAGATAGGGGAGGCAGCACCATGGGCCAGGACCAGTTCTGGGGTAAAGATACTGACAGAGCATACAAGAAGCTTCTGCAATCCTTTGAGACACCAATTCCAGTGAGCTCCAGAATGAGAATAAGTCTTCCTCTTTTTAACAAAGGGCCAAAAGAAAGTTCCCCTCCTGTGGGCCTTAATTCAGCAACACTGAGCCCTGAGAATGTGACAAACAGCTAGCAACTGTGTCATCGCCCCCTCAAGATTGGATCTAGAACTTCAGGCTGAATTATAACCTTCCGCAAGTACCCAAAGGTAAAAAAAAACCTGTATGGACCAGTATGAAACCAAAAAGAGATTTAATGGCAGAGTGACAATGTGGGGCTTAGTGTGATATCATGAGTTTGTGCTGAAAATGTACGAAATGACTGGTTTGGATCTAGATTTGTATTTGTTGTGGGGGGGGTTGATGACATAACTGGTCACTCTCTAGATCTGAAGTCTGGTACCAGTAAATTTTGCAACTTTTCAGCACAGACTCATGACCTTGCATTAAGCACCGTATTGTCTCCCTGCAGCATCCAATTGTGCATTACCTTTATCATCTCAGATGTCTTTTTTAAAAGTTATAGACAGCTCCTACCCACCCTGTAATTACCTGCACTCAGCAAATCAACTCATGCCCCTACATCACATCTCTCCCATCTCCACTCCCAGCCAACCACCTCCTCTCCTATTGACATTGATTCTCCTCGGGGTTAAGGTTCTGAGGGGTAGACTTCCAACTTTGCCACTCCTGGTGATCTTGGATGAAATACCCATTATTGAAAGTTGCCAATTTTCAAAATAAATAGAATTGGAAAGGAACTTACATTCATATAGCATCTTCCACAACCCCAGGATGTTCCCCAGCATTTCGCAGTCATCAAGTAATTTTGAAGTGTTGTCATCTTCGGAGGAACAATGGATATGTGAATTAGGAACAGAGGGTAGTTTTGGTTAGATGACAAGTTGAAACTCCTGAGCCATTAAACCTCTTGGTATCTGACTAGACAGGAGCAAATCAATTAGACGGGGAGATTTTTAAGAAAAAAATCTTTATGGAATGTGAGCGTTGCCATCAAGACTGGCATTTATTGCCCATCCCTAATTGCCCTTAAACTGACATGGATGCTCTCAGAGGGCCTGTAGGTCTGGAGTCATGTGTCAGCCAGACCAGGTGAGGATGGCAGATTTCCTTCCCTGAAGGACATTAGTGAATCAGATGGACTTTTATGACAATTGTTGATAGTTTCACAACCTATTAATTAATTGGAATTTAAAATTTCACCTGCAATAGTGAGAATTATAGGGTTTAGGAGCAGGAGGAGGCCATTCATCCCTTTGAGCCTGGTCTACCATTCAATAAGCTCATAGCTGATCTGATTTATGCCTTAACTCTCTAATCTGACCCTCACCATAACCCTTGACTCTTTGTCAAAAATCTGGCTAACCCAGCCTCAAATATATTCGATGACCCAGCCTCCATGTCATAAGTCATGTAGCATGGAAACAGACCCTTCAGTCCAACGCATCCATGCTGACCATGTTCAGAAAACTAAATTAGCCCCATTTCCCTGTGTTTGCCCTATATCCCTCCAAGCCTTCCCCATTCATGTAACTATCCAAATGTTGTAGTCCACAGACTAACAATCCTCTGACAGAAATTTCTCCATATCTCCATATCAAAAGAGGAACTCCTTGTTTTTAAACTAAGTCTCTGCCATGAGGGGAAACATCTTCTAAGTGTCCACACTAAGTCCCCTCAGGAACTTATTGGTTTCAATACGACCACCTCTTGTTCTTCTAAACTCCAATGGACACAGGTCCAGTCTGTCCAAACATTCCTTACAGGATTATCCCTTCATCCCAGAGTGAGTCACGGCAAACTTCCCTGAACTGCTTCCATCACAATTGTATCCTTTTTCAAATGAGGAGACCGAAACTACACAGGACTCTGGATGTGTTCTTACCAAAAGGCTGTACAACTGCAGTAAAACATCCCAACTTTTACACTATCCACCCTCCTTGTAATAAACACCAACATGCCATTCACCTTCCTAACCGCTTGCTCTACCCGCAGACCAACTTATTGTGATCCATGTACCTGGACACCCCAGCTCCCTCCGTACCTCAGAATTCTTCAATCTGTTTCCATTTAAATCCCCTATACTGTCTTTATATTCTTCCTGTAAAAGTTCACAAGTTCACATTTTTGTTCATTGTACTCCATCTGCCAATTTTTTGCCCATTGGTCTCAAACTCCTCTTGACAACTTACTTTCAACTTCCTTACCTTGTGTCATCAGCAAATGAGACTACCACACATTCAGCCCCTGCATCCAAGTCCTTCACATACACTGAATCTCTGGAACTAACTTCTGTTGCATTTCACTAGCTGCAGTTTTCCAAGATGCAAAAGATCCATTTATTCCCTACCCTCTGCTACCTGTTGGTATCCAATGTGAATGATCAGATCTTACTGAATGGCATGAGCAGACTCAATGGGCTGAATGACCTACTTCTGCTCCTACATTATGGTCTTTATCCCCTACATCATGTGCTCCTATCTTGTGCAGCAATCTTTGAACCTTTGATGTGACACCCTTTAGAAAGTTCACGTCTACTGATTTCCCTATACTCCATCTTTGTACGTGTCACTTACTCTTGTGGTGTGGTGGTAGTGTTCCTACCTTTGGACTAGAGGACCTGGGTTCAAGATCAATTCTGTTCAAGATATGTATCAGAACATGTCCAAACATGTTGATTAAAGAAAAAGTGTTACTTCCTGAAAAAGAACTAATAAATTTGGTAATCATGCTATCCATTTCACAAAGCCATGTTGAACCTATCTCCCCAAAGCATTAGTCAGGCCTATGAGTTACTAGCTCAGTGACAGTATCACCATGTCTCCATCTCCTCATCTGTGTTAATGTCTCATTCTCATTCCCTTGAGAGGCAAATTTGGGAGAACGTCCATTTATCCCTCACCATCTTCATTGAGTCTTAGTTTCCCAGTAGTTGCCATGGAGACTTATCCCTGCATCGAAGGTGTAAGGTTTAGGGATAAATGTTTGTCTGTAGACGGGTATTGCACTGTTTTTATAAACCAGCCTTGCACTATCACGATTGGTTAATTCAGGATTACTGTCTGAAAGGAGAATTAGTTCACTGTTCGGAATAAGGAAAATTAGAGGGTGTTGGGGTGAAGCAGGACAGTGGGATTAGACTAGGATTAGACTTGGCAACTGTGTGGAGAGAAACATTGGCATTACGTTGATGTGTTGAATGGTTTCTTTCAGCCCTTCAACATTCTTCAAGTCTAATGAGTGACCATATTTCCAGTGTCAAACCAGTCTATAATTATCTTCAACAACACCTTCCAAACCTGTAGCTTTCTCCCCCTAGATGGACAAGGACAGCAGCTACTATGGGAGCACCACCTCCTGCACGTTTCCCTCGAAGCCATTCACCATTCCAACTTGGGTGTCTTCTCCTTCACTGTCACTGTGTTCGAATCCCGTAACTCCTTCCCTAACGATATTGTACACATGGACCGCAGCAGTTCA